CTTACTAGATTATTATCTTTGTTAGAAGGACAGTGTTTGGCATGTTATTGAACATTCAATCTTAGCATGCATTCTATACAAAATACTAAAATGTGCCAGGACATGGCCCAACTAAAACCGATTTCCTCGAGCCTAAAGGAATCGGTAGGTCACCTAGGGGTCCTGTAATAAATATCTTGAGTCTTCAAGTACGATTGCCTCGTCCTTTACTCCCATCTCAAGTACATTACAAAAACATCATACTAAATTTACAATAAAATTAATCTCAAACTAATTTTACATCAATAAATTTAGAAACCTCGATTTACATTCGAGGGGAATGAGATGAGAAGAGAATGTATATGGAGAAAGGGAAAAAGGCAGGACACGCAGGTCCTATTTTAAAATTTACAATCATACATACCCAAAATAATTTAGAACATTCACCATAGGTCATAAGGCTCATGTACTGGACACCTTGCAATATACAAACAAGTACATAACATACATTTCCAAAAATAATCAATTTTGAATTGGGTGGGTTAATTATTAATTACCCTCTTATATGTGCAGAATGATTATTGACTTTATAGGTTATTAAAAACTGCAGTTTGATCCCTTTGCAGAAAAACACAAAATTGGGATAGCAGCTTCATCGTCGCGGCTAAAAATTCCAGTAAGAATGTCGTCACGGCGAAGCTTCTGGAAATCCCAAAATGCACAGTTCACGTTTTTGCAGTTTTTCATGTAATAACACGAATCCAACCAATATAACATTCATCAACACATTATTAAACCAATTTATCAATTGATTCATTCATTCAACAATAGATTTTAGATTTTGCAGATTTAACAAAATAACATGCTTTCATGGCAAATTTTGTGTAGATTCATCAAGGCAACATGTTATCAATCAAATACATGTAATCAACCATTCACAAAAATTGTAAAATCTGGTACCCAAGGCTCTGATACCACTGTTAGTAAACGATCATACATGGCAGCGGAAACAAAAATTTTAAACATTCAAGATCGTTCCTTAGAACCAAGATCAGGGCACACAAAAATTACAGTTTATACGTTATAATCGAATCTGCAGAAAAACCAGTTTAACGTTTAAGAAACCATACCCACGTTTGGAGGCTTCTCCAACTTGTCTCGGAATGAGTTTCACTACCGACCCAAGTGTAGGATCGAACCAATGTAGTCCACACAAAGCAACCTCAAGGAACTAAAGAGGGATTTGCTAGATCCTCTTTAGCCTTTAAGAACCAAGAAGAAAGTCAAATGAAATTTGATTTCAAGCAAAATTGCAAACTGGCATGGGAGAGAAGAAAAGGGGCTGGAGTGTTTTTGCTTTCAATGATTAAATGAATCAATTAATTATATTTTTTCTCACAAAGTGTTGCACTTATATAGTGCACACTTTGCCCTATTCCATCATAGAATGGGCTTGGGCTCCAACCCAAACACCCCTTTTATCCAAACAGCCCCTTTAAGATATTTTAATTTTAATTATTATTGTTGTTTCAATTAAATTAAATTAATATATATATTTCATATATTAACATTTAACAATAACAATACTTCATTTAAATATATGCGAACGCATATTTAAATATAATTTCACTTATTTAATTTAATTAACAAATTAAATCAAGGCTACGACCTTAGCAAATTTAATTGCACTGTGAAATTACCAAAATACTCTTTTCGCCTAAAAAGACAAAAACGTCCTTATAAACTGGTTCTTAAATTATCTTCTACGTGTGTGTCCCATAGTATCCTTATCATATCGGCAGTGTGTAGTATCGCGATTAACACCAATTAATCGTCTCACTACACACAGACCAAGATTGGCCCCCAGCAAGGCATCATGGCCACCCGATAGATTCAGATTCAGCAAAGCAACTACCTGTTAACGATATGGTTATCGTACAATCCAATCATTTCATCATCCGTTATCTCGACGAGACCGAGGCATAGAAATAGTGTCAACCTCAGTTACTCTCGATATTATGTATTCAGTTACTGGACCAATGACTTGTATTATAAACTAGATAGAGCAATAACTCAATCCCACTCTGGCCATAGTTTTAGTGTCATTGTCATTTACTGAATTGTGTCGTGAGATAACTTCTCCCGTATCTGGGAGTGATGAATCCTCTGTCTATCCACCATAGTCTTGATACACTCTTTGATGCAGCCAATCACTACCGTATTGACAGCTTTGAGTAGAACTGCTTTGGGCTAGTGTCAAATTGTACCAATCGGTGCACAAGGCGCTCTGGTGATCTCAAGTCTAAGGATCACATGCACCACCATTCGTTAGAAGATTTGTTCCATAGACACTGGGGTTAGCATCCATATGGAATCCTCTGGTGGATTAGTCCAGTGAACTTGTCTACAGCAAGCACCCATGTGTTACACCAGGTTATCACCAAACAACCTTGACATTATGTCAGTGATAAATTACACAATATACTGATATAATTAGAAGATTACATAATATCAAGAATATCCTAATACTGACAAAAATAGGAGATTACAAAATATTCTGGAAATCTCCACACTCACCATTCCACAGCTGTATCAAGACTGTATATTGCATTCAAGTTTTCTTAGAGGACTACCTCATCATTTGTGATTAACCGTCAAAAGATTACATCTAAGAATACGTTGTCGCTACGCATCTGATAAATGCTTTCTTGTATTAAAAGTTTTGCTTCAAAATCACGTTTAGGCATGTGAAATAAGAATAAAGATAAAGACCACTGTCACTACAGCTGTACGGATTATTGCCTTGACTTTCCTTGTGATGAAGAAATCAATAAAATCAATTATAATATTATTCAAATAAATTATATTTATTATGAGTTTTTTATATTTATTATATGTTGAAAAATTCAAGAATATTATTGCCTTGCCCTGTGATGAAGAAATTAATAAAATGATGTAAAAGAAGATTCTCTGAAGAATAAAACCGACTCTTGAATCTTTAAGAGTTCAGAGGAGACGCATTCATATAGCTTTTACAACAACACAAAGATAAAGATGGAAATAGAGCCTTAAAGAAGAAACCCAAATGTTACTTCATCAATCTGCAAAGATAAAGGCTGCAGCACCTGGGATCACCAACGAATAACAACCTCTCTCTACTTTTTTGACTTGAGTGTCCATTTATGCAAGCGAAGTTTCGTCTTTGTTTTTCTATCCAATGTTTTACCAATGTAATGTTGCCAATATTATATGAATTAGCTTTAATTCTTAATAAAGAATTTATTATCTCACTTAATTGGTTGGGTTAGTTGTTATATATATAGTACTTATTTAGAGCCTTAATATATATATATATATAAAGAATTTATTATCTCACTTAATTGATTGGGTTAGTTGTTATATAGTATTTATTTAGAGCCTTAATATATATATGAAAAGCAAAAGACAATGCTATTATTATTATTATGTATTTTGTAAATACGAAAAGTACTATAGGGTAAATTATTTTTCAGGTTTCAACTGTTGGTAGTTTATCTTGTTTGTTGCTGTTTAGAATCATTATTATTGTTGTTGTTATTATTATTATTAGGTTATTGTTAGTATTATTTTTTATTTTAGTATAATAAATGTATACTATTATTTAATATTTATATTTAAATGTTAAATTTAGTACATTGAATAATATTTATTAATATTAAAGCAAACGAATTAAAATTAATGCACAAAGAAAAATCACATCACAATTATACAAACTAAATTTGGATAACAATAATAAATATTATTAATTCTCAATATTATCTTCAACTTGTACATCTTCACTTTCAATTGTACAATTTTCATCACTCATCTTATTTTCACTATCATCATTTATGAAACCGATATCATCATCACTAACTTTACTACTTGGCTCCACAAATTGAACAATCTCTGGTTCCACATCCACCTTATGAAGTTCTTCTTGTTCATTAACGTTCGCATTAATATGAAAACTAAATTCATCTGAATTATTCGCTTGATACGCATCATGCGTTGTCGATTGAACTTCCTCAATTTTATTGGGAATGTCATACAAATACCTATGTTGCACCTTTTGTACAACTTTCCAATTGGCCCCTAACTTAGAATCATCAATGTAGAAAACTTGTTTAGCTTGATTTGCTAACACCACTACAAGAAAATATACATTCTACAACCAAATTTTTAGCAACCGGCCAATACTAGTTGCAAATACCCCACATTTAACAACTAAAATGCAATTGGTCAACAAAATGGGGATAGAATTTTTGGGGCCATTTATTCCCACTTTTGGCATCTAAAATTAATATTCTATGACTATTTGATTAGTTACAGAATACTTTACATTAATGACTAATTTATTTAGTTGATAATTTTTGCGTGGAAATTTTTCCCGGTATAGCGGAACAATTGGCATCTAAATATATGATTTCGCATCTAAATTTTTTGTTATAGAAAACAATTATTTGCTTCTATACTATAGTAGCTAAATTAAATGACAAATATCTGTTAATTAATTGGTAATTACTTTGATTAGTTACATAATAACAAAATTACTAAAATATCCAAGTTTTTGACAATAATTACAAAGGGTCCATGGTATATTTAGCAACAAATTATTTTATGCATATTAAAAATAGTTGCAAAAATGCATATATAGCAACTAAATTGGATTCAATCGCCAAAATTAATTGAAATTTTCATGTTCCCACTCAATTTTCGTGTTCTCACAGAGGAAAATCATAGTCAACTAAAATGATTATTTGGCAACTAAAAAATTAGTTCTATGGTTTACAAAATATGAAATATACTCATGGTAATTAAAAAATTAGTTAAAAAAATATGAACTAAAAAACTGACCAAAATTTTTAAGTTAATTACTAAAAACCCATTCCTATATAAGCCCAACGTAATTCCCCAATTTGCCCTTTGATATTCCGCGCATCTTCTCTTCTCCGCGCGCTATTCCAGTCCATTCTCCTTCTCTACTTCGTTCATTCATTCTTCGTTTGCAGAAGAAGATCAATAAACCCAAGAGCTTTCTTTTTCATCTTCATTCTTCTTCTTCGTCTTCTCTGCAAGCAAAACAATGTCGTTGGGTGAGAGAGGAGGATGGGATAAGAGCGAATCTAGATATTGTGGAGTGGAGACTGTCTTCGACGATGATATGCCACATCTTTTGTCCTACAATCTCTCCACTGGTGCCTTCGATTTCGTCGTTGCTACTTTGGTTAGTGTTTTTCTTTTCGATTCTTTGGTTTTGGTTTTCATAATTAATTTGAACCCCCACAAGTTTCAAATCTTGCAGATGGACCCTGTTTATAGGCCAAGCTTGGTAGAAAGAGACGCTAGTGGTGGATCAAATGTTCTGCCATTTGCAGCTTCTGACTTGGTTTTGAGGCCTTCCCAATGGAGCAGTCATGTTGTGGGTATGAACTTTTCCATTCACGGTTAGTAATCATTTTTTTCTATATTTTTAATTTGCTTTGACTTTTATTTTTTTAGCATACTCCTTGCATAAGGAGTTCGGATTATAAAATAAAAAAATTAGGATGTTGGGAGAAGAATTAGATATATTCATTTGATTTTATAGTCTTGTTTGATTATTTGTCTTGTATGCTATCATTTTTGGGCCTGTAATAGATTCTACTTAGGCGAATTATTTTATCTGGATAGTATGAGAGATAATTCATGTTCGGGGTATGAAATTTTTAATTTACTGTGAAATTTTTAATTTACTGTTGCTAATCATTTCATTTTATATGTGTTTCAGTTTCTTGTTTATCTTGATGCTGGAGCATGTGATAGTTGCTAAATGTGGCCAGTTGCATTTTAGCTGATTTAGGTGTGGGACTGTGGTGAAGATGCTGGAGCCTGGAGCATGTGTTGCACTAAAAAATCCAAATTATTTCCCCAAGGAGAAATCGTGAGGAAAACTAAATGAAGTAGCATATACTGCTTTGCTACTGTATTATTCGTGTATTAAATATATCGAGACGGATCATTAATTTTTTTTTTTTTTTTTTTACTCACAATGGAAAAAGTCGTTTCTTTTGTCTTCAATCCCATGAAGAACTCCACTTAGTTTGATTCTCTTCCATAATCCCATCTTTTTAAGTTCTAATTTGGTCATTTTTCCATTTCCTTTTTGGAGATAATCATATCCTCTTAATGACAAATTTTTACTGCTTTCTTTACTCGGCTCTAACTTTCATGAAAGTAGAATTGTAATTGATTTGTTGCAATATATGCATAAATTGTGTTGAAAGTGATAAGTAGTTGTACATTCATGAATAAATTTGTCCTTATTACATCCTCACAGGTTTCACAGTGCTTTCTTTTCTAATTTTTGAATTTAATTTATGATTATCCTATGATTCTGACGAATAAAACTTTGCTAAATTTCACAGTTTGATATACTTTGACAAACACACAGTCGATGTTTGCTGTGATCTGCAGTATTTATGATGGTTGTTTTTATATGAGCACAAAGAAGCCAAGCTTTCTGGGGAATTCCAGTAAAAGATGTTAATTTCAAATAGTATGTCAATTTCACTACTTTATGCATTAGAGTGTTTATTTTTTTCTACAACTCAGTAAGAGATCACTGATTTGATATTTTGGTAACTAATGAACTTTCTATGTGAGCTTAGATAGATAGATAAATAGCAAGAAAGGAATATGTTTAACAGTTATTCAAATAAATGGCCTTATATTCTATTATCATAGGCCCTGGTTAAACCAGGTTTGAACTGAAATATGTTTACTGTAAGCTTTGGACAGAGAAAAGTATTTGAAAAAGTAGTAAAATGGTGTCAGGAACTCCACATTTCTTTTTATTAATGTCTATATGTCTAGTAGATAGAATGTAACCTGCATCTTGCTTTATGTTCGGCTGGTTGTTAATGGATTCTTTTGGGCTGGAAAAACTGTAAGTAGTCACCATAGAGAGCCTGCTCATTCAACTGCTCTCGGAGTAAGTTATTTCCATGGCATTCTATAGGTTTAGTTACTGCTTCTTGTGCTTTCTATTTTGCCAAGTGATACGTGTGGATTCATTGACTCCTTGCTATGGATTTCTCGAGGGTATCTATAATGATGTTGTACCTTTCTACAACTCATCCCCTTAGGCATTGGATCTGATTTTGTAAGAACATTTGGTTGGTAAGTATGTCCCCCTCTAATTTGGTTTGAACCGCCTATATGAATATCTCTCTTAGTTCTTGTGTACTTAGTGAATGGAAGTCTCCATTTTCTCATGGCTTGTAGTCCCCGGAAGTGTCTTGGTGAAAGTAAACTGTCATTCCATTGGATATAGTTTCTTTTGTTCAGTGTTCACTAAGTGGTACTTAATAAGTATTTATAACAGTGCTTTTTGATATGAAATCAATAAATATCTACTTTGATGCTTGTGCGACCAGAAGATTGGGATTGGTTATGCACACATTTTGCTAGTGAATATTATCAGGTTATAATTTTTAATATTTATGATTTTTACTAGTAAAGTTACGTGATGATAATACTCAGTTGCTTATTATTTAATATTTATTATTGAAATATTATCTATATTTATTTTGGCCTAACTAAAATATTATTATATATTTCATTATGCATCATTATTCAATTTGAAAGTAAACAAAGCCAATCGTGCTAAGTTGCCATACAATCATTATGATAGGTCAAAACCCTTTGTTTTTCACCGAAAAAATAATTCAGAGGTTTGAAATATTTATTTTTGAATAATTTTTTATTTAATGTGTATATTGTAATTGTTATTTATTTGTTTATTTATTGAATATTAATTGTCTTTTATTTGTTTATTTTGGAATATTAGGATCTTCTTGAAGGTTAGCTCCAAGGGGAGGTGCATTTATTTCATGACACTCATTTTAGCAGTAAAAGAAATACTTGGATAAATGATGAAGTCAAGGTTCAATATGTAAGTATTATGTAGTGCATTTCATTTTTTTGTATAAAAGTTTATTATATTTTTATATTATATTTATATTATAACCTAATACCTTTTAATTTTTTAATTTATAAAATTATATTATTTTAATTTATATATTTGTGTGTATGTACATATATATTATTTTTGTAGGAACAAATGGAGAACATACTAAATTAGGAGCCTGAAGAAGGTTCTCAGCCACTACTCAATTAGAGATCACTCAATAGGTTTTAAAAACAAAACCTTGTTATTATTGTGGATTGGTTATGGTCCAAAACCACCTACATCTTCTAAGCTCTGTTTTAAATCCTGGATCGGACTGGTCTGACAAGGACCCGATAGTTTCTCTGGTTTGGTTAAGGTTTTATGGTGTTTTTGTAATATTACAAATTTATAGGGACTAATTGTAATTTTATACGGGTGTTTTAGAGATATGTCAAAAGTTTAGAGATTAATTGGTAATTTTTTGGGGCATCTTAAATAAATAAAAATTTTAGGGACTAATTGAAAATTTTTTAAGGGTATTTTGTAATATACTAAAATTTAAGGGATTAATTAATAATTTTTTAAAAATAAAATTATTGTTGATGTCACCGATCCAACCGGTTGAATTGGTCAACTCGTGACCCGGTCACCTTACCGGGTCTCACAACAGGATAGGTTTTAAAACAATACTTTTAAGACTTTAAGGCAAGCCAATCAAGAAGTTTTAGAGGAACTCACACACTTGCACGAAAAGGTGCAGGAACTGCAAGGCATAAGAGAACAATTTTGCCAATATGGGCAAATGATAGAGAAGATGCAGTAGTTCATCTTAGTTAATATGGGTTATTGTTCTACTGGTTCACAAACATTTTCGGGCCAATTTGAGTTTTTATTTGTCACTTTTTGTTGACTATTAACAATTTAGTCAACTTTATATATTTTTAACTTTTTATTTGAAAATAAACATATATAGTTCTATTTTGGTTTGATATATTTGTGTGATTTCAATTAATTACATTTACAAATTAATATTTATATTTTAGAATTAAATTTTAAAATGTCTAAGATAAATTAAATATTATTTAATCATACATTATAAAATGGGTGACGACAATTATATTTCGACGTTGTAAACTTTTAGCTATAAAATACATTCATCGTTAAAAATTCATCGCTAAGGGCATCTCCAACCCAACACCATGGTGTGGAAAATTTGCTCAAACTTAACACCAAAAACTACACTAAATTGGTGTAAATGAATAGTATCACACCAAATTTGGTGTAACACTATTCATTCACACCAATTTGGTGTGACACTATTCATCTACTATAAAATATATTTTATTTCTTTATTTTTGTTATTTATTTTTTTACTTTGTATTTATGTTCATTTGATTATTATTTATATTAATATTTATAATAATAAATTCATTATAATTATATAATTCAAAAAATGATGAAAAATTAAAAACATAACTTTATTCAATGCAAATATTAAACTACAATAACTCAAAATAAAGATTAACACTAATTTAAAAACATTAAAATTAAAAGAAAATACAACATAAACTAAAATAACAATTTAGAATTCGGGTAGATTAGCTCCGGATTCTCTAAGATCATCAAAATATTGAAAAGAACTAGAACTTACCATAGACAAATCAAGGGTACGGAGGCTCACCATGCTCTTTCAAAATGCATTGATTGATCATTTGGGAGAAGAATATACTAATTCGGAAAATTAAATTACTATCAATATAGAATTTTACTTTTGTGTTGTTGTTGTCTTTTTTTTTTTTTTTTTTTGTGGCATTTTATGTTAGATATAATATTTTATATTAAATGTAATGTTTATTTGATTAAATAAATGCTTAATTTTATTAAATTAATATAATTTTCAAAGTTATTATTATTTAATAAAAATATCCTTCCCAATATTTAATTAATATATACAAAAATAATTAGTAAAATAAATTAATTGTTGATTATTAATAGAAAAAAATAGAATATTTTAAGGAATATTCTTTTTGGTGTAATATTTGATGCAATGGGTTTGAGATGCAATAGTGAAATACATAAAAAGTCACATTAATTTGGTGTGAAAGTTGCACCAATTTAATGTTTGTGGTTGGAGATGGTCTAATAGTTTCAAGTGACGAAATATAAAGTACCGTTATGCTATACTTTAAACGACACATACAGAGATTACATCGCTAACTTTAGGCGACAACAACTCATATTTTATCATGCTACATGTTAGGCGACAAAACATCACATTTCGTCACCGTATACTTTAAGCTACATACACAATTATAATGTCGTTATTAACTTTATGCAACAAAAATGCACATTTTGTCGTGGTATATGTTAGGCAACACAAACACACATCGCGTGGCGGTGTAGTTTAGGCAACACAGTAGATAGTATATTGCTATTAATTTTAGGTGACGACAACTAATATTTCACCAGTAAATAGTTTTAGCGACAAAAATGGTATAGACGAAATTTTTTTGATTTGTCGCTAGATTGAACGATGAATTTTAACAAATTGTCACCTAAAATAAAGCGCGACACACCTTCCGCAACGATCGTGGCAGCGATTTTCTTTCGTCGCAACACCTATACCTCAACAATTTCTAGTTTTTTAGTGGAAAAATTCGTACCTAAATAAAGGTTTTGTTGTAGTGGTATTACCAATTTGTCATCATCCCTTTAACAATTTTATAACACATTTAACCAATTTATATCATACTTAAAAGTCCTATCCATTTAACTTGAACTTAAATCATTTAATTTGCTTCAATTTTAATTAAATTATACAATAATTAACAAAATATAATAAATATAATAAATGATTAAAAAAATTTAGCTTAAAGTCCAAAATGCAAATTAATAAAAAAATTATAGCTTTTCAATTATAGTTATTTGTTTTTGTTATTAAAATTATTGTTGTTTCTTCATCTGTTATCGTTGATTGTGTTGGGCGTGCTGGTTATTTTTTATCCTAATACATTGAACTGTTGTATCCTTCTTTGGATGCGAAATCTTTCTTGAAGTTGCTGACTATTGTTGCTGGAGTTATT